CAGTCTGTGAACGGATGTCTTGATGATGTGTTCCTATTGTTTTCTCCACGAGTTCACGGTGACACGGGGGGGACGGGGGGGAGGACGGGGGGGCGGACGGGGGGGGTAACATGAGCGTCGACGTGTCTGAAAAGAGGTGCATGTCCGTCGGCATGAGAACAATATATTTTGTCGGCCGTGGAGGGCAACAAGCCGGGCTAATTATAGAGCGCCAGAGGAAACGGCCGAGGACACACAAGACAATTTCGGGGGGTAAATTTAGAAGCTCCTCCCTCGTACCGCCGGAAGGGGTCAGAAGGTCAGCTTCACGTCCATGTGGGGACAGAGGACTGTTACTGTTTCTGATGCGTTATTGTACCAGAGCAGCTTGTGCGAACTGAACGCACTCACAGAGAACGAAGGGATTATCAACTGAGCAGCAGCGCCCCCTGCTGTACTAAAGACACATCACACCCAGTTGTCCAGTTCAGGTCATTGAGACAGACAAAAGATTCATGAGGAGACATCTGAAAAACATGGAGCCACATGTGGCAGGAACTTTAATTTCCTCGGGGGGGCAAGCCGAACGCAGGGCTTTATTTGCACTGCCAGGAAATCCCTCAGCGTTCACACACACACACACACACACACACACACACACACACACACACACACACACACACACACACACACACACGAGCAGGCTGCCAGCTCACCAAACAACGCAGGTGGAGCAGCAGGTGGAGCAACACCTGGATGCCAGAGTACCGTCGGCCAACAGCTGCTGCAGGAACGCGTCCATAACACTGAGCAGGAGATGGACTCCAGCAAACAGATGAATTAAACACGGTATAAATGACGTAGAGCCGCAGATAAACGTCTGAACTCGATGATAAATTCGTGCTGGACGGACCAACAGAAACCTTTAATTGGGTCGTAGAATATTGGGCCCATGTTCTCATTTATAACACCGTAAAATGTAGTTGTTTTGCTGAAAGATGACATCTGAAACCCACTATTTAAAAAACAGAACAAGTATGAAACCTTTATTTAGAGTTTTAGTTTTAAAGGGGAAATACTTTCAGCAGAGAGGAGGGACGTCTCTGCACACCACTCATCTTTCTAAGGCCTTTTTTACAAAATGCACAGTGAAGAATTATGGCGCCACGTCTGCAGAGATGTGTCACCAACCAAGTTCTGCTTCACGCACCGAGAACAGAGAGAAGAATCACCGCACATTCTATGTTAACTTCCACCACTAAGGGGGGCGCTAACACTTCTGTGCCATCTGATGCTCATTCCACACACACACACACACACACACACACGCACACACACACACACGCACGCACGCACGCACGCACACACACACACACACGCATGCACACACACACACACACGCACGCACACACACGCACACACACACACGCACGCACGCACGCACGCACGCGCACGCACACACACACACACACACACACACACACATACTAGAAAACAACTCCCTAAAATCTAAAATGAACATTTCCAATGAGGAAAGACACGCGTGTGTTGATGTGATTTGTTGATTGGCTCGTATCATCAGACCCGCTGCCTTTTCACGGTCTTGTCACTCCTTGCCAGGCATGTCCAGTTAACATTCAGAGATAACCACGACAACAGCGCCGGGACGGGAGGGAGGGGGGGGGGGGGACGGTTTGCATCTTTCTCTGAGTACCAACTGAACCCCAAATGAAGAATGATAATGACAAGTGGCGAGAATAATATAATATATAATCTAAATAGGATTTACAGCAACTGTTGCTTCTACCAGTGTCTCGTCACCACGGGGGGCCGGGGGGGCTACAGTTAGTTAGTGTGAAGAGGTGTGTCTCTAGTCTGAAGATGTGAAGGCTCTCTGTGGTCCTGATGTCTTCAGAGACCTCCTTCCACCATTTAGGAGCAGGACAGCAGAGAGTGGAGATCTAGTCGAGTGTTTTGCTCTCAGTGAGGAGGAACAAGCAGTTTATCACATGCAGAGCGGAGAGGTCAGAGGTCGGGATGTCGGGTTGGACCCCTCCCTCGCCCAGTCAGCTTTATGTCGATATCGTGAAAACCCACGACAATAAGTGGGGGTAATCAGGAGGATCTACATTATTGGAAAGAGGAAACGGTTCTGACGTTATGAGAGCGGATTGACGTTTGACACAGAAACAGGAATTGTGTTGACAATAACAGTATAAATATTAACATAGTGCGATTTGTATCTGACGACCAGCAGAGACTCAACAAAAGAGAAAACATGCTCCGGAAACATTGAATCATTATTCTTTCTGAACGGTTCCTTCTTTTTAAGAATGAAGAACATAATGTGAGGTAACTATTTTATTGTATTAACATTTTTAGCAATAAAGGTAGAACAGCTGATCGTCTCACAGTGAAAACCAACTCGCTCAGTAGTTTATTTATTCAACGCGCCGCCTCAGGTTTCCTGCTGTCAGCTGGAGGATTCCTGCGCAACCGCAATAACACACACACACACACACACACACACACACACACACATATATACACACACATATGTATATATTCATGTCTGTGTATATTCACGTAACCTTCATGGACGCGCTGCCTCACTGTTACCGTGTGTCAGCGTCCCACACGGGGCCGAGGTCTGTGGGGCCCGATAAGCTCCGTCCATTCACAACTTCTCATGAGGTCACTTAGCTGCTGGGTATTAAAAGGCGGCGGGGGGGGCTGAGGTAGTGGATGGGGGGGGCGACGGAGTATTAAACTGCAGGATGTTTTCCTCACAGAGTCATGATAACACTGCTGGTTCCTTCCTTCGAAATGATACGACAGCGAGTGAGCGACTCGTGGAGGAAAGAGGTATCTGACGCACCGGCTCGTCTTCGCTGAATAAGTCATTGGAGGGTTGTTGTGCCGGTCCAGCACAGCTGTGCAGGAAGCAGCGCGTCGGCTGCGCCGCGGATGTGTTTTCTCAGATGGAAACACGTAAGAAAGTATGACTGAAATCAGCAGATGCAGAGTAAGTCGTGAGTTCCCCTCACACGTGTGCCGTCGTCTCCTCAGAGCCCAATGAGAAGCATCCGTGGGCATCGACGGGCCTTCAGGGGTCGTCAGGCCAAAGTGGTGAATGTGGTTTTTGCAAATTCAGCCGCCGACCATTGTAGTCCTGAAACAGTTGCCGAGCAACACACAGATGTGTGCACGGTAATACATGCAAGAATCTATGCAGGTGTGTTTCTTGCAATAATGCAGCCGGTGGGATGCTGACGGAATTATATCATAAATCCCAACAGGATCTTTATCGACCACATGACTGTGGAGAAGATAAAAAGATGAAAGCTGGCTGAAGGGACGTGTTCACTAACTGATCCTGGATCAGATCACATCGGAGTCCAGCCATTTCGTTCCCTGGTACCTTCACGTATTCGTTCAAATGCTTTGTGGTATTTGTGAGTCCTTTGACAGCCGAGTGCACTCGCGACTGTTCTTCAC